TTTCTGGAATCGCCTGCTCTCCTTCTAAACAGCCGTGTGCTTGGGCCGGCATCTCCCATCAGGCCTTGCAAGTTCCTCACAAGCTTTTATTTATTGTATCGGTTTCCTGGTTTTTTGTTTTCTAGGATCACTGTCCTGAACTCCCTTCATCGTCCTCCCATGTGGCCGCCGAGGGCCCCTTCAGTCTGCACACGGCGACCCCGTCCCATTGACCGGGGTCACTTCCGGCTCTGCCCCTCCTGCCTGGCCTGCAGGAGCCGCCCCGCCTTCTCTGCTTGTCTGCGTCTGTGACCTAGTTGCTTCCTCTTTCACCTCCCGTGTTTGCTCGCAATCCTATCACTCCGTCTCAGGTCAGGGCGCGTGGGCAGGACACAGAAGCCCCTGTAGTTGTTTCGGTCAGAAAGGGCCTTGGTAAGAGCTGGGGAGTCTCTGATGCTCCGGAAAGGCAGGGCTGCGGCAGGGGCCTCGGGCAGCACGCACCGCGGGCCACGCGGGGCGCGGGCACCCTCGGCCAGTCAGGACGCCCCAGGCCAGCGCCGGGTCTTGGGCACCTGCCTCACTGAGACCTGGGATCGACGAGCTGCCGGTGGCCCTGCTGTGCGCACAGCGAACACCCCCGGATCTGCACCAGCAAGCTGGGCGCGGCGCGTCCCCGACCTCTCCACGCCGCCCGGTCCCAAGCGTGGGTCCCCCCGTGGCCGCACCCGCGGGGCCGGGAGCAGGTCGTGTGGGCCCAGCGGGAGGGCGTGTGAAGGGCGCCTGGGACACGCCTTCTGTCTCCTCGCCCCTGTGACACACCAGCGCCGCTTCTGTCTCCTCCGCCGACTCACTCAGACAGTAGTCCCGTTTCTCGTTGGCTTGTCCCGGATCCCCACTGTTCTCCCGGGTTGTCTTCTGGACACTCAGCTCCAGGAGGCTCTGCTTTTCCCTCCTCACATTCTGGTCCTCCCTCCCTCGCACCTCGTTGCCCTGAAGCTGTCACACTGCCCGCGGCTGTTGCCCCCCTGGGACCACGAACTCCCAACAGCCGCGGACGCAGCCCCAGCGCCGGGAACCCGCTGAGATCCGAGGCCGGACTTCAGCGTCTGGTCCCAGCCCTTCCTCGCGGGGCGCTCACCTGCGTCTCAGGCCTCGGCCGGGGGGCCTCGCTCTGCCCTACCTCCTGCCGGCCACCTGGCTGTTCTGGGGCGGGGTTTGAACACAGACCCACCCGGGGCTTCTTCGGTGGAAGAGCCAGCTGGGCTCAGGGGCCCTGAGGAAATCTTGTGTCAGGTACGAGGGGACTTCTGTCAAATGCCTGAAGAGGAAAACAGGGAGGGGCTGTGGCTTCGGAAGGACCTTCAGGTCACAGGCTGCTCTCCGGTCTCCATCCAGCTGTCCTCCTCTCTAAACCTCGGTTTGGGGACCGGGGCCACCTTTTCAGCCTCTCTTTTTGTCTCCAGACCCCGAGACCTCATGCCAGGGATGGAGAACAGCTGTCCCCATGAGCAGAAGGCTGGACTCATGCCAGCTGTCTTTTTTTTTTTCATGTATTTTAATAGATAGAGTCATGGAACTTAGGGAGGGCAATGTCTTGGTTCTGCCACTCACTCTGGCATCTTCCACGAGGACTTGCCCATGACGTACACACGAGTGTGCAGCTTGGGAGCCGGGACAGGAAGCCGACCCCATGGAGGGGCAGGTGCACAGCCCAGGCCAGCTCCACGCGTGTTCCGGGCGAACTGCGAGTGGACGCGCTGCCTCGTCAGCTCCGGATGGCCTGGCGGCAGAGCGAGAGGAAGGGACGTCTCTCCCTGGGCCAGGGAGTTACTATTCATAAAACTAAATTAGCGTGGCTGACGCTGTTCTCAGAGTCATTCTGTGATGTGAAAATAATGTTAAATTCCCCAGAGAAGCCTTAACTTTCCTTTTTTACCTGGTTGCAGTACAGTAAATCTTGCCTGGCAGGGGTCAGGAGGCTGTAGCAATAGATCGGGGTGTTTGGTAAACCTTCCCGGGTCCGCTGCCGCCCCCGGCCAGAATCTGCGCGAGGCGAGAGGCCCCGAGGGGCTGCAGCGCTGACCGGCGAGAGGCCGGGGGAGCGCGCGAGGTGGGGGGCGCGGACTGGACGGGGCTCTCGGAGGAAAGGCGCCGCGCCCCCGACTTTGCCCGCCTCCTTGCCAGCCCTCACCTCCTCCTTGCTCTCCGCGCTCGGGTTCGTGGCGGTGGAGCGAGGCTGGTGACTGGGGACAGAGGCAGTGTGCCTGGTGTTTACCAGCAGCCGGGTGCCCTGGGGTCAGAGTCTGGTCCCCGCCGGGGGTTTTAGACGGAGGCCTACCTCTCCCAAGCCTCGGATTTCTCATCTGTAAAGTAAGGTGAGGGGTGTCGGTCTGAACAGACACAGGCGGACATAAATGTATAGTTCCCACTGAGGCTGTGCAGGGAGAAATGAAACGAGGATGTAAAGGGCTCCACGCGGTGGGTGTTCGATAAAAACAGGTCTGTCCAAAAAGTATCCAACCACACGATGGGGAAATGGACAGAAGAAACATTATACACAGGACGCGGACACCTCAGTCCCCGTCAAAGCAAGTGCCGTGGGGCCCCACACGGTTCCCCCAGTCGCCATCAGCTGCCCTCTCACCTTTTCCTGAATCTCATTGATGGTCTGAAACCTCTTCCCTTTCAAAGGTGATTTTAGTTTTCGGAAAAGCTAGAAGTCGCAGGGCACCAAATCTTGACTGTAGGGAGGTTGAGTCACCTGGGTGATTGGACGTTTCACCAGAAACTCTGCATGAGATGCGATGCATGAGTGGGTATGTTGCGATAAAGCTGCCAATCACCAGCTGCCCGTAGCTGCAGCCTCTGAATTTGATGCAGATTTGTTGCTCTACTCACTCAGTCATTTTGAATGCGACAGCCACACAGTACACACACATGCTCACTCAATGGCGTCGACTGCCCTCACTAACTAATATAGTGAAGTCATCCCTGTTCACATGTGCGCATTCCAGCCCACTCTCCTTGGTTGTCAGGTTACATCGACGTTACACAAACTGTTCTTGTTATATTAACCGTGATCAGACTTCTTCCGGACAGACCTCATATTTGTATTATTATTTCTACAGGGAAACAATAAACAGGCCTGTCCCTTTCATTTTTCAGTTATGGAACATATGCTTACTGAGGAAAAGACAGATAAAACATTATCTTCTATTGTGAAATAATGCCAAATATCTGGGTAAGAACTGAAAATAAATCTAGGCGTGTTTGCGTGTTCTGTGACAAAGAACGTTTGACATCCTTTCCCCTCACCTGGCATGTTCCTTCCGAGTGTGTGGAGGGAGCCCACGCAGTGCCACCCGCCCTGGTCCTTGCAGAGCACGTCTGAGAGGTGCCCGTGCACCGCGGCACCGGCCTCTGTCTCCGGTCCCCACCGGCCGTCGGGAGAGGCCGCCCCCTCAGCCCTGCTCCGCGCTGGGGAACCGGCGCGCTGGGCGCCGTGTGACTCACCGGAGTGCCGAGAGCCGGCGAGTCACAGGGCCACACGTCTGACCCCAGGACCCCCTTCAGGGCTGGTGGTCTTTCCCCAGCGACAGGAGGCTTGGGGACCCGGGACGGGTAGCCCCGGGCATGACTGGATGATAAATTCACGGATGGAGACTCAGCCTTGTCACCGCTAGTGGTCCGAGGGTCCGGACTTCCTCTCATTTTCACAACGAGGAATATTTTCGGGCCCTGGCCGGGTAGCTCAGCCGGTTAGAGTGTCGTCCTGATGCGTCAAGGCTGCGGGGTCCACGCCTGGTCCGGGGCCATGCAGCCATCAACCAGCGAACGCATCAACAAGTGGAATGACAAATTGATATTTCTCTTTCTGTCTCTCTCTCACCTTACCACTCTCTCTGAAGTCAATCCATAAAATTTTTTTAAAAAAAGTATTTTCAGGAGTTAGAGTTTTTGCTCACATGCCTAGTGAACCATTATCCAAATTCCAACAATATGTAATAATACCCGATATGAGGTAAAGACCTTTCGTGCACTCCTAAGTGTATATTCTTCCTGCTACCCCTGTGAGCAGGGCCGTTTGGGGGAAGCTGCGCATTGCAAGGGACGTGCCTTTGCCTCGGGGGCCCTGCCGCGCGGTCCTGTGGGGCTAGCAGTCCCGCTAGAAATGGAGAGATGGGTCCTTAGCCCGACTTGGCAGCAAGTGCCGCCGCAGGTGGTGAGCAGGCTCCCGAGGGCACACGCTCTCACTGCTCAGGCCAGCGGAAGGGGCACCGGACGCCGCGCGCTGACCTCGCGGCGCATGTGAGGAAGGCCGATGACTCCTGAGGTGACGCTGGCTCACTCGCACACAGTGACACGCTCCACCCCCCGGGCGGAAGGACACACTGCCCTTTCCCCCCGCCCAGCACACGTTGGGACGACAGCTCTGTTAGCCTGGGGCGGGGGGTGGTCACTGGCTTCCCAAGGACCACGTCCCCCTCTCGCTCTGCAAACCCACGGAGCTCCCTTCCCCGCGGTGCTGGGGAGACTGTCTTAGATGGGGAGCCCCCCGCACGGCCCCCGACAGCTGGCGCACGCGCGCCTTTGCCCTGCGACAGGCTCGTACGACTCACTGGACTGGGAGAACGCGCGCTTTGACTGGGCTCAGACTCACCACGTGACGTAGCTGTTTCTGCTGTGTGCTCGCTCTCAACACATCTCCCCATTCTTCTTGAAGCTTTATTTCTTGTGTGATCCTCCCTCCAGACTGGACTTCCTCTCCTCTCCTGTTTATGGACAGCGATACGGGTTAGATGTGGACATGATGGCGTAGGCCATGTTGTGTGCTGGCGGCGGGGGGGGGGGGGGGCACGTTTAAGATGGTCTCACACGTTAATAGGCGGACACAGGATTGGGCCGATGTTGTAGCTTGTAGACCCCTCTACCTGTCCCAAATGCAGGTTTCTCAGAGATGGTGGCACGGTGTGTACAAGGGACATGGTCGTGACCATTGCCTCCTTTTTCGCTCCCTTCAGATCCGAAGCCAGAGCAAAGCCTCGGGGTCCGGGCTGTGTGAGGGCGATGAAGTGGTCTCCATCAACGGCCACCCGTGCGCCGACCTCACCCACCCCCAGGTCGTCGAGCTCATGGAGAGCGTCGCGGACTCTCTGCACATGCTCGTCAAACGGTACGGCGTGCGGGGGTGAGGTGGGAAAATCGGGGACCGGGGTGCTCCGTAGAAGGTGGGTATCATTGCACAGAAGAACCACCGTGCTGGGAAAGTGACCATTGTAATGCACCGCAGTTTCTGGTTGGTTGGAAATTACCTGGAAAATCTTTGTTTCAAAAACTGTGTTGAAAATCTTAGTTATTTACAACTAGTTTCTGGGAAAGCTCAGCATGTTGAGTAGAGTTTACTCCTTCCAGGTCAAGGTGGGTGGCAGGTCAGGGTCAGGAGCGTGGAATTCCCAGATTCCCAGAGGAACTAAAGACATTTCAGTGTTAAACCATCACTCCTTACGCTGATTTCCTAGAGAAAGAAAATGCCTAGGAGAAGGGAGGGAACAGCAGCAGGAAACCCTGAGAGCGGCCGGCTCCCGCCTGCTGGGCCGGACAAGGGGTGGTGGTTGAGCACAGTTTTCCAACTGCCAGCGCAAATCGTGTGTTAATCTGATCTTCCCCGACCCACCCTCCGCACTCATTGCTTCAAAACGCAGAGGCAAAGTTTAAACACGAAAACACCAAGGGGAACCATGAGGCCCCGGCCGCACCCCGGTCCCACGCCGTGCGGCGCGTGCGCGGCCCCCCTCCCCGGCCTCGCGGGGAGGCCCTGGCCGGCGCACCGTGAGGACCCCCCGGGGGAGGCTCGGCGGCCCGGGCTCCGGGGGTCCTCTCACAGCGCCCGCAGGCCCCCTGACTCCGCAGGGACCCGGCCCACAGTGTGACCCCACGGACGGCCGTTCAGCACGCTGCTTCCACTTCCCTTCCGACGTGGGCTCTCTGGGGCCGGAATCTTGTGCAAATGTAAGAAATGGGGCTGTATTCTCAGCATCTCCCACCCAGACACGTGCCCACCGCGCCCAGCGTCTGGCCCTCAGGGCACCGCTTGGTTACGGAGCCGCGCTGGCTCTGAGACGGCGCCTCCCGGGAGGGCGCCGGGGCCGCCGCGGCTGAGCTGGGGGCGCGCCATCTTCACACAGGCCTGACAGCGGCCGACCCGGGGGCGGCAGCGTTGCTGACCTGCTGCCCTCCAGGGTCTGCGTGAGCTGACGGCCGGTCCTGGAGCTCGCGGTGGCGGGACACCCCTCCGCGCCCTGTGGGCCTGCCACGGCTGTCCCCGGGAGCCCCGGGGCGGGGGTGGGGCTTACCGCGGAGTCCCAGGGACACATTCGCCCTCAGAAACAAATGACTAGTTCTGGGCTACTTTTACTGACTGGAATCGTGATTATTATGATTTTTCTGTTAAGTATTTTGCCTTTACCAAACAGGTTATCGATGATATTGAAAGTGGAATCCCCATTAATACCCATCAGAAGGCAGTCGCCCTATCATTGCCATCATCATTGCCACCGTCCTCGTCACCGCCACCCTCGTCACCGCTCTGGTGTCCGAGCGAGCTTTCCTGGAACTAAATCGCTCTCCCACTCCCAGAACGGTCCTCACCGGTCCCACTAGAGCTCAGGTGGCTCGGCTGCCCCGAGACAGCTGGGTCAGGCCGTCTTAAAGTGCTTCTTTATTATTAGGTCTTTATTACCTGAAATTGTATTAAAACAAGATTTTTTTTAAAACTATATCATTACACGTTGGTGAGAAGGAAATTTTACCCTTCAAGGTTCTTCCGCCTGGTCTAAGATTTACATTGACTTGAGACAGAGGAACAGGAAAAAGAACCACACTTAGTTCTGTTTGTATGGACAGGGGCTCCTTAGGACTAGGCCCCAGGGCAGGGCGGGCTGTGTGCCTCCCTGAGCTAAGGAGATGGGGCTTCGGAAGGGAGGAAGGAGCAAATGTGTGGCGGACGAGCGTTTGCAGGGCCGGAGGAGGCAGAGGGCGCTACGGGCCCTCCGCCCCGGCCCCCACCCCCCACCGCGGTGCCCGTCCTCGGGAGCCGGCTCTGCCGATGGCTGTGTCCGGGGAACGGGCTGTCTTGGTTCTCCTGGCCAGTGAGCCGGGGTCCGAGGCTCTTCCTCTGTCTTTTGCTTCTTAAAAGAAAATAACCCTCCCACCAGAGAGACACATTTTCGGGTGTCACACTTTGCTTCCCGGCATTTGACACCTAACTCGTGGCGCTGAGCGCCTGTCGACAGACGGCCTCCCCCCGGCCCCGCCGCGGCCTCCCCTCGCAAACCGCCCTGACCGCCCGGCGCCCTCACCTCCTACACAAGGAGACCTAGTTTGCTGTCTTGGTGTTTTTACAATACTACATTATACTTTCTTTTTTTTTTTCATTTTTGTATTACCAGGAAGCTTTACAGGGTACATGCTTAGAGAAGGTTGCATTTCATTTGATTGTTTCTGTTTAGTTCAGTTTAGTTTTGCTAAATGCAGTCAAAAGCAACGTCCGGAGTAGTTGTAAGATTAGTCTGAAATGGTGTGACCGCAGAAATCCTAAGGTAAATCCCCTTGAGTTGACCAGAAGGAGGACCCAGTCCTTTCCAGGGATGATCCTGTGTTAGTCAGGGTGCAATTTGAGGAAGGAAGAGGGGAGCAGAGAGACGCTGCTGCTGCTTAAAAAAAAACTAACTTAGGAAAGGGAGGCCCGAGGGCCTCCGCAGCAGCGGCTGGCCCTTCTGAAAGCAGTGAGGGTTTCATGGAGCGTTTAAGCAGGCGGGTGTGGGACCCCCCAATCGACATCGCTTCTTGCAAACCCGAATTTGCAAGACCCAAGTGGGAACGTTCAGGTCAAAATCAAAGCGTTGTGGCGGGGAGACCTGAGCCCTCAGCTGCAGGTGGGGGGCAGTTTGGCCTCAGCGGCAGTCCTCCCGGGGGGGCACTCCGCGGGGCAGGTTCGAGGGGTGGGGGGACGCGCGCGCAGCACCAACACCCCGCGACTTGGGCTCCACTTGTTACAAAGCACAGCCCCCGGGCCTCCCAGAAGGGCCTGCATTCATTTCATCCCCTTCAGGAAAGCCCAGCCTCTGGCAGCATCAGGGAAATTGTCGGTGCGTTAGCCTGGCTCCGGGGCTGCGGGACAGGTTCACGGGACCCTGATGCCCAGCCCTCAACGCGGTCAGCGAGACAGCGAATTGCGTTGTTGTATTATAACAAACACAGGTTTTTAGGAAACAACCAAATAAGCATAGATAAAGAGCATCCATGCAGCTATGACCTGCCGTTTTAGAAAAATAAAAGCTGGGTTTAGGATGGATTTAAGTTTTAGGATCTCTTGTAAGCATTTTTGCTTGGCTTTGAAGAAAAGATTCCCTGGAAGGCCTTTACATAGTCATGTGACCTGTAGCCCCTGGTGTTTTGGGGTGGCTGTGGCCGACACTTGGGGGGCGGCCCAGGGACCAGGCCCCGCATCAGCCACCGGGAGGGTGTCGGGAAGGGCGGGGGCACCCAGTGTAACTGTCTCAAACGATTTTTCTGTGTGCAGACCCTCCGGTGGGATGAGTGAGGCTTTGGTCTCTGACACGGACACCAGAGTCCAGCAGCATGTCCCCCGGGAGGGGTGCGTGCAAAGTACCACCCTGCAGATCCGGCCGGCCCCACCCAGCCAGGACAGGGAGCCGCGCATCGCCCCCGCCGGGAGTGGAGCCGCCCTCGCCGAGGACCAAGGATGGGGCCCTGCTTTTCCTGGGAGCGGAAAAGAAGAAACAGGCCCGGGCTACCCTGAGACACCCCACACGCCGCACGCCCTGCGAGGATCCCCCCCGGACGAGCTGGCCTCGGGGGAGAAGACAGATGCGGGCTGGCCGGGCCCTGTGGTGGAGCTGCAGCTGTCCCTGTCACAGGAGGTGCACACAGGCGCTGGTGGCCCTGTGGTGGCTCTCCTGGGAGCTGAGAAATCTAAGTGTCCTGACCCAGATCCTAACTTAGACCGCAGCGGGATTGCCCACATAAATTCAGCCCCCTCTGGGGAGAAAGGGGGAGTTTGTCTGAGGTCCAGCAAGATCATCCAGATCCGCAGCGGCCGAGCGCCGAGAGTGGCCCCGGGGGAGGAGGCAGGGGACCCGGGGCTGCCCCGAGTGGAAGTGATCTTCGACTGCGCTGCCAGGCAGCAGGCAGAAGGGTGCAGGCTGCCGGCAGGAGCAGGGGGTGTGGACTCCCCGGGGGAAGGAGGGCCGTCGGAAGCACCTCCTTCTCTGGTAGCCTTTGCTGTCTCGTCAGAAGGCACGGAGCCGGGGGAAGAGCCGCGCTGCGGCAGGGATCACAGCAGACCTCACAGGCACAGAGCACGCCACGCACGTGAGTCCTGCCGGGCTGCGAGGGGCTGGGGGCCTGGGCTTCCTGCCGCTGCCTGCCGCTGCCGCTGCCGCTGCTGCATGGACTGCTTTTTCTTTAGTAGATTTTTTTCCTCCGTCTTTCATGGGCCCTTTTAAAAAATCCTTAATGCACAAAAGAGCAAACATGAAATTGTGGGCAATACCAGTTTCTGAACTGGAAGCAGCAAATGGGACCTTGGTGACAGAGTTCAGAGTTTTTAAGGCACTTCTTATACCCGCGAGGCACAGGTACAGATCAAGACAAGGGCATTGTTCCTGTTGTCTCTCTGAAGAGTCTCAGAATGTTGCCATATTTTACATTCAAATAGCATTAGGGAGCTTTTGAAGGAATGCGGACTCCGGGTTTCAGTGTCAGACGCTGTGGAGTCTGCTGCTCAGAGGTGTCTGTGAAATACAGGCTGCACCGCTGATACGAAAAGCAGATCCTCGTTTTGAACCAAATCACTGTGCAGCTTGATGATGTTTGCAGAAGCGAGTTGACAGACAAGGGCATGTGGCATCCCTGGCCGCTACATGATCCTGCCCGTTTCGGAAGCCCTCCCCGCGCGGCGGGGCGTCCCATCTGCCTCGGGACACCGGACCCAGGCTCCGGGGCCGCTTGGAGGCATCTCAGTGTCCCCAGGCAGAAAACGCACTTAAATGCAAGCTGTTTCCAGTAGCTTGTCTTACCCAGAGGGGGGATCAGAGGGAGGAGAAGGAGGGTACGAAGGGCAGTCAGGTTGCATGAGTTTTGTTTTTTTCTTTCCTCTCTCCCACACGTTTGGAATGTCACGGGAGGAGGGAAAGGCTGAGGGGCAGAGGCGCTCGGACGCCTGCAGGACCCGCAGCCGCGATGAACCTGGTTATTCAAAGTAGCAGATCCAGTCTTCCAACCCATTGGCATTCCTTTCCAAGCATATTTTTGGCCCAGCCCCTTGGAGCCTCATTGGCAAGTGTGGGCAGTCGTTCCACTCACTGCCAGCATCTGTGGGCATCGTCACATTTATAGATTTCGGACAAGTGTGTCACAGCAGATACGCATACTTCACGCGCTGGCGGCGACGTCGCAGCCAGTGTGCGGCCGTGACTCCCAGTTCAGGAGCGAGTTGTTTCACGCCAGGAAAACGGTGCCTTTGGGGGCGGCCATGCACCGGATCGTCCTCTCTTAATAAAATGTCATTGCCAGTGACGAGCTGTAACTTCGTTATTAAACTAGCTACTGTGATTCTCTTTCTTTAAAAATTAATCAAGTCTGATGTTTCAGTATGAAAAGAGTGGATTTTTCAGTCATAAAATACTCAAAAAAATTTTTTTCTGACATTTCCACTTAACCGTTTCGAGCAGTTCAAGACGTATTTCTGAATCATGCGCATTATCATTGTATGATGATCATAATTCATCGATGCTATAGACTACCTTGCTTTCCGTTTCTTTTTATAACAATAATGGTAACATTTTAAATTTAATTTTTTATCTGAAAAGTGTCAAACTCTCATTTTAAATGTTTTAATTTTGGTGTCAGCTCTCACCCACAGCTAAAAGGACCACTAATCATATAATTTTTGAGTGTGGCCAAGATTTACACTTATTCTTGCTGCAACTGAAGTAGTATCATAATTCTAAAATAGCAACACATTACAAACAAAGTTATCTAGACAACTTTGGAGCTCAGATTCCTTACATTCACAATGATCTAATGTCCTGACTTATTAGAAATCATGATTCAGTACTTTCAATCATTACTCATTTAGCTTTTCTGAATTTCTACTAATTCGCTCTCCATAAATGGAAGGACTTTGGAGGGAAGACAAAGTCAGCGGGGGAAAAAAAAGACAACTTGAATAGTTAAAGTCATTACGTTAAAACATTAAGCTAAATAACATTTCTGCCCCCTCCCCCACCCCAACTTTTAAAAAAAAAATCCTGGAAATAGTTTTCTGTTGACATTTTATTTTTTTAAATCCGGAAGTACAAAGACGTCTTAACCTGTTTTTCAGAAAACCCTGTCCTTAAATGGTCTCCTTTTCAGCTTCGCTTGCACCTCACTACCGAGGCTCTCCGCCGGGCTCCGGCCAGGGCGGGGGGCCCACCGGACGGTGGTGCTGACACCCGCGCTGGCACCTGCGCGGGGAGCCCGACTCTTCACAGCCCGGGCGGGGGCGCAGCGCTGCCGCGGGGTCGCGGGGTCGCGGGGTCGCAGGGTCGCAGTCGGGGGAGGGCGGGAAGGAGCGGGCTGGCAGCCCCGGGCCAGGTGGGGGCGCCGCGGGGAGCCCGCCCCGCCCGCTCAGTGTGACTCTGTCCCGCCCCCCAGGGCTGCGGCGCAGCGAGAGCCTCTCGGAGAAGCAGGTGAAGGAGGCCAAGTCCCGATGCCGGCGCATCGCACTGCTGCTCACGGCCGCGCCCAGCCCCCACTCGCGGGGCGTGTTGATGTTTAAGAAGCGGCGGCGGCGGGCCAGGAAGTTCACGCTCGTCAGCTACGGCACCGGGGCGCTGCGGCGGCCGGAGGACGCGGGCGGCGCGGAGGACGGCGACGGCGACAGCCCCTGCGAGGGAGCGCTGCTGGGCGCCAGCGAGTCGGACGGGGACGAGGAGCTGCTGTCGGACAGCGACGACAGCGCCCAGGTCGTGGCCTTCGACTGGGATTCCGGGCTCGGGGACATTGAGAAGAAGCTGACCGGCGGGGACAAGATGGAGATGCTGCCGGATACCTCGGGCAAGGGGGCCCTCATGTTCGCCAAGAGGAGGGAGAGGATGGACCAGATCGCCGCCCAGAGGGAGGACGCGGCCGGCGCGCAGGCCGACGGCCCGAGCGCGGGGACTTCCTACCGACCTGCGGAGACGGCCCTGGCGCCGGCGCAGAGCTGCGTGAGCAGGAGCTACATCGAGGTGAGCCCCGGCCCCGGCCTCGGGCCCCAGCACAACGGCTTCGGGGCGGCGCCCTACACGGCGGAGGCCCCGAGGGTGGCCCCCACGAACAGGACGGCCCGGCCCTTCCCGGGGTCCGGCGCTCAGCCCGCAGCCGCCTTCCCCCCTGTCCGCAGCGTGACAAGCCCCACGGCTGACTTCCCCGCTCCCCCGCCCTACTCCGCGGTCACGCCTCCGCCCGGAGCACCGGCCCGCCCAGCGAGCATCCCCGGGGCCGCCCCCGCGCAGCCCCCGCCCTGGCCGCAGCCCGCGCCCTGGTCGCCGGAGCGCATCGCCTCTCGGGACGAGAGGATCTCCGTGCCTGCCAAGAGGACGGGCATCCTGCAGGAGGCCAAGCGCCGGAGCACCGCCAAGCCCATGTTCACGTTCAAGGAGCCCAAAGTCAGCCCGAACCCCGAGCTCCTGTCGCTTCTCCAAAACTCGGAGGGCAAGCGCGGCGGGGTGGCTGGGGGCGACTCGGGCCCGGAGGAAGACTACCTCAGCTTAGGCGCAGAGGCCTGCAATTTCATGCAGAGCCCCTCGGCCAAACAGAAGACCCCCCCTCCCGTGGCTCCGAAACCGGCAGTCAAGTCCTCCTCCCAGCCGGTGACGCCGGTGACGCCGGTGACGCCGGTGTCTCCAGTCTGGTCACCGAGCTTGGCTCCAACCCACCCTCCTGCCTTCCCCACAGCCGCCCAGTCACAGGGCACAGTTGCATCATCCATCAAAATAGCCCAGCCGTCCCCCACTCCTGCCCGGCCCGCCAGTGCCCTCAGCCTGGCCGGTCCCTTCCGGGGACCCCAAGCAGCAGTGGCCAGCGTGAACTACGCCGCCAACACAGCCAAGCCAGCGGCCCCCGTGCCCGCAGGGGGCGCCGGGCACACAGGTGCAGCGGGGCCGTCCGGCGAGCTTCCCGGAATGCAGGGCAAAGGGGCCCAGCTCTTCGCCAAAAGGCAGTCGAGGATGGAGAAGTACGTGGTGGACTCGGACACCGTGCAGGCCCACGCCGCCCGCGCCCAGTCCCCCACCCCGTCGCTCCCGGCCGGCTGGAAGTACTCCTCCAACGTCCGTGCGCCGCCGCCCCTGGCCTACAACCCCATCCTCTCGCCCTCCTACCCCCCGGCCGCCGTCCGGTCCCAGGCGTCGGCCCCGCAGGCCTCCAGGCCCAGCAAGAAGAAGGGCAAGAAGCCCCTCAACGCTTTGGATGTCATGAAGCACCAACCGTATCAGCTGAACGCATCCTTGTTCACTTTCCAGCCTCCAGATGCAAAGGCTGGTCCCCCGCAGAGAGCACCCACCAAGGCCAACTCGGTGCCGGCCATGAAGCCGGCGCCGCCGCCCGTGGCGGTGAATGCCGGCTCTCCTGCCAGCCTGCAGGGCGCGTCCGCGTACTCGGCGCCAGCGCGCAGCCCCCCACCAGCCTTCTTCCCGGAGGCCGCCTCGCCGGTCAGCGCATCCCCGGTGCCCAGGGGCGTCCCCGGCTCCCCAAAGCCGGAGTCAGCCTCCACGTCGTCTCTTCTGGCCCCGAGGCCCAAGTTCTCAGCCAAGAAAAGCGGTGTCGCCGTGCAGGTGTGGAAACCCTCGATCGCGGAGGGGTGATCGTGTGGCGGAAGCTGGTGTCCGCTTTGCTTGAAGCCAGTCGTGTGCAGTGTTACTCGATTCCCTGCAAATGCCTAGCAAGTCCTCCACTTACTTAATTTCAGGTGTCACCTCCCAGTGTGGGTCCAAGGAGTGTAACGTTGTCAGTGAGTCGAAAATCTAACTCAGCTGGACATCAACCACATTTATCTTTTTTGTGCACTTAAAAACTCCGGGGACACGCCAAGCAGACACATGCCATGATATTAAGCAAGCGGTACACTTAGGGTTCCCGCGGTAGCTGCGAGACAGGCTGCGATCGGCACTACCGAACGTCAGGGCACAGCCCGTCTGGAGCAGGACAGCCGTACTCGGGTGCCAGGCCCCGGCCGCGAGCATGCCGCACGCGTGCAGTTTCTTTTTTAAGTAGTGCTTTATTGCTAGCATTAAGGGATGAGAAATGTATCGAGGACAGGGATCGGTTGTGGCCGGTCAACCTCAGCCACCCGGGTGACTGCACCTGGGGGCGGTTCGCATGTACGGGTTTAGTTAGGGGGTGAGAGAGGGGGCACTGATCTTTATTGAGCACTTAGGATGGGTTCAGTTCCGAGCCAGATGTCTGACGTACACGAACTCATTTCAGGAGACATCTTCAGAGTAAACGGGCAGGGCAAACGGGCTGCGCACCCTTAGGCAGGGATTCCCATCGCCCCCAGTTACTCCGGGGACTGAGGGAGCCCGTCGCTAGCCTCCCAGGGGGCCCGCTGGACTTCCTGGGCTGCGGCAGAGTGCAGAGCCGGGCAGAGTGCAGAGGGTGTGAGGACGGCTCCGGATCGAGGCCCGAGTGACCGCGGCCTTCCCGCGAGCCCATGTGGCTGGCGAGAGCAGGGTCCCGGCCCACGGGCTGATGGTGAAGTGGAGGAGCCGGTGTGCGGAGGCCCGAGGGTGAGCGCACGCTGTGGTCAGCATCGCTTCCACGTGACTGCGCAGGTTTTTTCCCCGTGTGTGTGTGTGTGTGTGTGTGTGTGTGTGTGTTGCTTTCTGGTAACGGCCTCTCCCACTGCTGCTTGCGGTTCTAATCTTGCACCTTCACCTTGTTTCTTCCTTTTGGTGGACCGGGAGGATTCAGACAAGGTTACCTTGGGGTTCGGATCGGCCAGCAGTGTGCCGCCACCCAGCTGGCTGTGAAGTTGGCCAAGCTACTGACAGGAACCCAAAGACCTTTGCTTGTGTCTATTTTAAGTCCGAGTCTGGCCAGCCGTGGCCTGTGTTCACCGTGAATTCATGTAGAGAACCGCAAAGCATATGTGAGAGCTCCACGGAGACCCCGCCTCCCCTCGGGGCTCAGTGGAGAGGCCCCCCCCCCCGCCCCTGCGCAGACTGGCCTGGGGCCGGGCACAGGCTGCTGCTCCCTGTAGCCCCGGAGCGCCGGCCTCCCTCGTCCGTTCTGCACTGTCCATCGACTCTGTTTTTCACTATCCTATTAAAAATAGTATTTTCTTCTTTATCTGTATGTTTTACTTAAAAAAAAAAAAAACCCTGTCTATGAGCTGTTCTGACCTCTCTTTCTCTTCTCTTGCCCCCTGAACACCTGCATTTCCTTTCTGTGAGCACATCCGTTTCTCCGTAAAACAGCCACCTTCATATTTCTAAGACACGGCACACCAAAGGGAGAACTCACACAGCTACGGAACAGTGGGGCTGATTCTTCTGCCTTTTCTCTGGAACAGTTTCCATTGCCTTGGGTCGCCATTTACCTAGAGGCTACAAACACAGGGTGTAGTCTGTCTCTCCTTTGTCTTTTGGGGACGTCGCCGAGGAGGTGGGTACAGGAGGGAGGAACAAGCAGCCTGACCATGCTCGCCACCGCTGTCTCTCCTGCCGTTCCCTGCAGAGGGAGTCTGTTGAGTGCTGTGCGTTTCACATTCTTTTCTAATAGAACAACCAAAAAAGGCTTCTTAAGGTCAGGCATGCAAGGAGATCGTTTTTTATCCTTTTGCGTTCCTCACATAGCATTTAAAGAACGGCATGAATTAGAGGAAAGATCATGGAGCTCCAGGCCGTCTGAGATCATCGGTCCAGAAGTAGCCTGGGAGGGTGACGACCCAGAAGTATCCCCAGTTGTCCAGTGGCCTGCGGTTTGCAGGCACGACAAGTGTCTTTGGTCCACTTCCTGTTGGACAGGTGGTGATCTCAGCAGAGCCGCTTTTGGGGTTTGTGACTAATGACCTGATGAACATGACGGGGACTGCCACGGGGTTCCCCAAAGCCTTCCAGGGCGCATGCCAGGCCGAGCGGCCACGGCCCCAGCGGGGTGCTGGGGGCGTTGGTCTCATCTCCGCTCACACAGCCCCAGACTGCGGACGGGTCCAACCTCGTCGTGCGGGCTGGGCAGCGGCGGGGCGAGGGGCCGAGCCTTCTCCCTGGAGAAAGATTCCTTTGCCTTTTCTCCCTGACCGGGGCCCCTGGGGGCTTACCTGTAGAGTAAACTGTCTGTGCCACCTTTCTGTGGTGATGACGTCAGCGAGGCAGGTGGGGGACCGGGGAGCTCAGTGTCCTCCCACGGGGTGCCCTTTGCGGCCCGAGTCGGGGGGGGGGGCTGCGCTGGCTGGTCGTGGGCTGGAGGGGACAGTTCCTGGTGAGTGTTTAGCACCTTGCCCCTCCCCCTGTGCTGCGTTGGTGGAATGTCCGGACAGTGCATCTGTGAAGGCAGGTCCTCACCGTCCGCACCAGCCGCACGCGCGCGCGGAGCGCCGGTATCACGCCAGGCGCACGGGCTGACTGCCAGCCGTCGTGCCAACTCAAACCCTCTCCTAGGCGGCCGCGCGAGGTCCGACCGCGCTCGTCTAGCCTTCAGGGGGGCAGGGCGAATCCCCGCTGGTAAGACGGGGGATCCTAACATTGCCACTGGGATCTCAGGACATTTCTTGTTTTCTTTCTGTTTCAGTAATAGACACATCTTGTTTCAAGAGAGGGAAAGACATGCCATTCCGCATTGCGACTGTTGCTAGCATAAACCGTGCACTGTTAGGAATGTGTCTCATAACACACACCTGGGCCGTCCTGAAGCAGGTGAAGTCTGTGCCGCGAAACGTATCTAGTGTGATTGTTAATGATAACATAGGTCTCACGTAATCCTCACAAGCAGCAGCTCATCCTGGCTGTAGGAGAGCCGATCCTGCGGGCCTCGGAGGCGGTGCAGGGTCCACCCACGCCCTGAACTCCACGGGGCGGCCGCCACACCCGCGGCTTCAGGACCCCGGGGCCTGCACTGAAGGGGGCGGGGCTGGCGCGGGGTGGGGGGTGACCACTGTCCCGTGTCAGTTCTCGGTTAAAGGTCCTCGGAGGTCGCGTGGCTGCAGCAGGCGTCCAAACCCTCGGCAGTGTCCCAGGAAACCTCTGAGGGCTCAGGACACGTGGATGTCACACCTGAGTTTCCTCTCCCCAACTAAAGGCTGCGTTGCCTTCTCCCCTTGGAACCGGCCAGCTCACCTGTTCTCAGGGGTCACCCTGGAGCCGCTGGCCAGCAGGGAGGGTGCTGGTGACTGTCACCAAAAAGCAGCGCTTGTTTTCTGCAAAGCTAGATGGGCTCCTGGGGTTCGGGGCGGGGGGTGGGGGCCTGTGCTGCGAGCTTGCTCCCTCTTGAAATCAGAGTTGTTGAGTTTGTTTTAAAAATTCTTAAAAGTTCATGAGAAAACTATGTGAGTTCTAAGACCCAACATTATATTCCCAGAAACAGTGACCCTGGCTGGTCCCCTGTCCCCTTATCCCGGGACTCTGGGGGACACAGAGACCCATGTAACACTTCAGAGCCGCTGAAGTCATCACCAAGCATCCTGGGAAAAGGCGGAATCGGGCTCCCTGGACTTCCCAGCAGCGTGGGCCGTGGGCCAGCGGGCTGGCCGGCAGTCCCCACGCGCCCCGGCCACCGGGCAGAGGGGCCGAGGCCAGGCTCTGCTTCCCGCCTTGGGAAGTTCTTTAACAATGGATGTTTCCATGGAATGCGCGTGCACTAACGTGCCAGTGGGCACTTGGAAGTTACAGACCCTGCTGCTCAGAGGCAACCAAATGCAGAGAAATGTAATTTAAAACTTCGGTGCCAAACCCCGCTCCACATTTCTGACTCCTGACCCGGGGGGCTGCTCACTGGTAAAGCGCATCTCAGGTACAGCGAGGGAGCCAGTTTAAATGCGTTTTTTTTAATTGATCCAAAGACTTTAAATTTCCATCCTCTGGTTCTACATGTTTCCCTCCTTCCTGACATGGGACCGACACTGTGAGCTTTAATGGTGTCTTCAAGGCCCCGAATCACCAGGAGGACGGCTCCCCAGCCTGCCCGGCTCGGCCCCCGGGGAGCGGGGACCTGCGGGTGGGCCGCAGGAGCACCTGCTCTCACAGCCCCTCCCACCCACCCGTGGTCCATCCGTGGGGGAAAAAGAAAAGGACTGAGACTCGTTCTGAGCTGAAAAGAAATGCACAGCCCAGGAAAACACTGAGCAAGTAAAGAGTGAAAAGCCAAGTGTTTTGTTTGGTTTTTTCCCGCAGGAGGCGTGGTAGAAGCCTGGCAACCCTCAATGTCTTTGTTGGGTGGAACCAATGCGTGGAGCACTGAGGACGCGGGGGGAGAGCGTGGGCGCCGCGTTGGCCCCGTGCACCAGACATGGCGTTAGCTACTTTTCCCGGGTGGTGGCGATGGCTGACGTTGGCCGAGCACAGACCATCAGCCCTGGATTGTGCCAAGTCTCTTCCATAGGTGGTCTCTTTTCCAATTGACGTATAATGACATACAGCGTCATGGTCCCGGGTGCGCGTCCTCGCGATGCGCTGTGGGGTGCGCTGTGGAACGGCCCTCACAGCGAGTCCAGCTCACGCCTGTCCCCTCAGAGAGTCTTGGGTGGTTTTCCTGTGATGAAAACCTCACGCCTGCCCTCATCAACGCTCCTCACAGAGACACGGCCGCGTCGACCGTGGTCGCCACGCTGCCTGTTGCG